AGACACACACACGTACACCCACACAGAAACATAGAGACACACACACAGACGCACACACAAACACACGGACACACAGACTCTCACACACACAAACTCTGACACACACAGACACACACACACACGTAACATCCACACAGACAACAAACAACCACCATTCGCCACTAAGTGGTGGTGACGTCACCACAACGCTTGTGCCAGGCTACGTGCATGTTAAGGCCACGGGAAGTGTCAAATGCCTGCTGGCAGGAGGTCACGGGGCAGACCCAGGTGCCATGGGTCGACTGAGGTGACTGGCCAATGCACCACCTGTGCCCCCTACTATGCCCATTTGCTGCGCTTTATCTGCCCGGTGCTCTGCTCATTTCTGTAAACATCGCTCCTTTGCCCTCCGTTGTTGCTGGAAGGCGACTGCCTACAACTGCCCAATAGCATCCTTCACGAGCCTCCTCCACAGAGGCCAATCTTGACACCGCTGGTACCTGTCATTCGCAAGTCCAATCAGCTCCACGTCCTCCTGTACCACATCACTCCATCTCTTATCTAGCCCGTGCCACGCCCATTTAGCCCCCTCCATCCGGCATGTGGTGGCTGGATATGCGGGCTACATGACCCAGACAACGATAGGACTTTGTCCAGGTCTTTCAAGGATGTGTGAGCTCCTCACACAATCCAGCCTGGTTAAACCCAAAATGGATCATAGCAGACTGGCCTAAACCTTTCTCCCGGCAAATATTTTCCATTAAGGGGTCCATGTTTCGCAAGCGTAGACAAAGGGAGGGCATAACCGGAGCCAAAAAGACCTGAAGCTTCGTTTGGAGTGACAGACCAAGTAGCTTCAATACAATGTTACGCAACCGATAAAAAGATAATGCCGCTCAACTGATTCGGAGTGAAACCTCTGCTGTCAAACTGGAGCCGGTCAGGAGCAAACTGCCTAGGTATGAGAAACTCTCCACTATCTCCACAACTGCCCCATCTCCAATTGGGACTTTTCGGGGTGGAGTGGCTGGTAGTGCAAAATACCCAGGCAGGTACTTAGTTTTGTTGGGGCTGATGGTAAGGTTCCACCTCTTAGTGGCACGTTCCAGGTTCAGCAGCAGCACCTCCAACTCCTCCTCTGAGTAACCTGCAATTACCGGGTCGTGGGCATACATAACATAGTTGAGCAATAGGGAGCCATCCCTCAACCACACTCACCCACTCAAACACACATACAGGTACACACACAAGCTCACACACACTCACACTGACACACACACACACACAGGCGTCGCCGCTGTGAATACATTTTATTGAGAGAGTAACTGAGTAAAGTGAACACAGCTTTTCTTTTTCAGCCAGGCCCAAAGACCACGATGATGAAGAACCAAACTCCCACACTACAGTGCAGCACTCAGCAATAACACCGTCTAGACCACCTAGACAATCTTCACCGACTAAGACCTTCTTCATTGACGAGAACATCTACACCGTCTAGACCAACGAGACCATCAAGACCATCGACACTGTCTAAACCATCTAGACCAGGGGTCCTCAAACTTCTTAAACAGGGGGCCAGTTCACTGTCCCTCAGACCGTTGGAGGGCCGGACTATAGTTAAAAAAAAACTATGAACAAATTCCTATGCACACTGCATATATCTTATTTTGAAGTGAAGAAACAAAACGGGAACAAATACAATATTTAAAATGAAGAACAAGTAAAGTTAAATCAACAAACTTGCCAGTATTTCAATGGGAATTATGGGCCTGCTTTTGGCTAATGAGATGGTCAATGTCCGGTTCCATATTTGTCACTGCTAGTCGTAACAAGTGATGCAAGTGTGCATCCGTTAGTCTAGATCTGGTTGGAGATTTCAAGTGTTTCATTCTGGAAAAAGTCTGTTCACAGACATAAGTGCTGCCAAAGATGGTTGCCATTTTGAGTGCATGGTTCCTGAGATGAGGATATGTCTCAGAGGGGAGAGATGCATATAAATTATGAAGGCTGCTTGACTTGAATGCGTCTTTCAGAGAGTCACAATTCTGCAGTTCAGCCAGTTCCATTTGGTAAATTCTATCCACATTTTCAATGTCAATAGAAAATGGGTTACGGAAAAGCTGTATGTCCTGTTCATGGAGATGAAGCTCTTTAAATCTAAATTGGAACTCCTTTTGCAATTTTTCCAGTGAATCCACACATGTTTTGTTTGGGAATGCAACCAATGGTTTTTCCGCTTAACAGATTTTGAGTTGTGGGGAGATGGCAGAAGTTTTCCTCCTTAACTTGTTTGATGAGGAGGCCTAATTTTACTTCAAATGCTTTGACATGTGATTGCATATCCAAGATGAGCTTCCCCTTTCCTTGAAGTTGCACATTGAAACTGTTGAGTAGCTCTGTTACATATGTCATAAAGGCAAGGTGCCATTTCCATTCTGCATCATTGAGCTCTGATACTTCTTCGTTTTTTGAAAGCAGAAAAGCTGTAATCTGTGGAAGTAAGTCATAGAAACGTTTCAAAACTCTCCCTGGACTCAGCCAACGGACTTCTGTGTGGTACAGAACATCTTCATAGTCAACATTTAGCTCAGACAGATATTCCTGAAATTGGTTGTGGTTTAGTGCATGAGCTCTAATGAAGTTAACACAAGATACCACAATTTTCATAACAGAGTCCCACTTCAGTGATTTACTACACAGCGCTTGTTGGTGGATGAGGCAGTGTATGGCTATTGGATGAGAATGGTTATGTTTGTCCGTCTCTTGATTAATGCGAGCAATTACTCCTTTCTTAGACCCCACCATGCTCGGAGCAACATCAGTTGTCACACTGGCTAGTTTAGTCCAGTTCAGCTCCAAACCATTCACAGTTTGGCAAACCTTTTCATAGATATCCTCTCCTGTAGTTGTTCCTTTGATGCTTTGCAGTGCAGCAAACTCTTCTGTGACTTCGAAATAGTCATTCGTCCCACGAATAAAAAATAGAAGTTGTGCAGAATCACGAACATCATTGCTTTCGTCGAGTGCCAAGGAAAAATAGGAAAGTTTTTTTTGTGGAGTTTTGCAAATGCTGATGGTAATTGTCTCCCATTTCTTCAATCCTCCGTGTAATTGAAGGCCGTGAAAGACTCACTGTACTAAATAAATCGGCCTTCTCTGGACACATCTCTTTGGCAACAGAAAGAGGCATTCTTTAACAAATTCTCCATCCACGAATGGTCTGCCAGAGCACGCTATTAGCTTGGAAACTTGAAAACTTGCTCGCAGTGATGAAATATTTAGCTGCTTCTGCTTCACAAAAGTATTTTGCTGAGTTGTTAATGTATTTTTCAGTTTTAATATTTTATCTTTTCTCACTTCTCCGACCAAACAATCATATTTATCTTAATGTTGAGTTTCATAGTGTCGACGTAAATTGTATTCTTTGAACACAGACACTATATTCTGGCATATCAGACACACAGCTCTTTCCTTGTACTGCATGAAAAAGTAATCATAAGTCCACTGTTCTTTGAATATCCTACACTCCGAGTCAATTTTTCTCTTTCTTGACATCATTGTTGCCTAGGGAGTCAAAATTGCTATTAGTAAAATACCAATATATATAGAGCGCTACAAAAACAATATACCAGCAATAACTTTGCCCACACAGAGACATACAGACTGCACTGCCCATCAATGCAGTCTGATTGGGGGAACTCCGCTTTTACCCCAGGCTCACACTGGTGCGGGTGCCATTAAAAAGTTAATTACACCTGCAGTTTTGGTCACAGATCGCAATGCGATCTGCGAACTCGCATAGAAATCTGATCGCATGGGGGAGAAGACCCATGCGATCCGATTCCACTGCAGGAAAAAGAAGGCACATGTGCCTTTTTTCTTCCGAATCTAATGCAAGTTCAGCCATACAAGCATATGGCTGAACTCGCACTGCTCAGATATCGCAACAGTATGAACCGGGGCTTACACAACATACAACATATAACCTCATACAACTGAATAGCAATCAGAATATAAATGCACTTACTGTCATTTAAATTGGGTTTCCTACTCTTCGGCTGTCTGTCACTGACCAGCACGGGAAAACAGCAGGCAGCGCCTCCAGAGATCAGAGATCACTCTGTTATTACCCCTCTATCATTTACTCAGCGGTGCGTGTGCTGGGGATCTACATCCCCAGCACACAGGAATATCACTGGGAGTGGAGCCGAGGGGCAAGTGAGGGAGCTGAGGGAGGGAGAGCCAGTCAAGCACAGCCAGGGGAGGGCTGGCAGCCTTAGGCCTGGGGGGCAAGTCCAGTCAATTGGCCCATTGAACCATTCACCAGCGCAGCCCAATGAGTGCCCACCGCCGCAGCCCAATGAGTGCCCACCGCCGCAGCTCAATCAGTGCTCGCCACCGCAGCCAAATCAGTGCTCGCCACCGCAGCCCAATCAGTGCTCACCAGCGCAGCCCAATGAGTGCTCACCAGCGCAGCCCAATTAGTGCTCACAAGCTGCAGCCAAATTAGTGACCATGGGCCGGATAAATGTCCTCGGCGGGCCGCATGTGGCCCGCGGGCCGTAGTTTGAGGACCCCTGATCTAGACCGTCTACACCAACTAAACCGTTTAGACCATCTAGACCAACTAGACCATCTACACCATCTAGACCATCTAGAACATCTCGACTCTATAGACCAACTAGACTCTCTAGACCGTCTATATTGTCTAGACCATCTACCCCGTCTAGACCAACGAGATGGTCTACACCATCTAGACCGTCTTCACTGTCTTAGACTGACTCGACCGTCTCGACCAAGAAGACCGTCTAGACCAAGTAGACGGTCGAGACCATCTAGACTGACTAAATCGGGGAGAGGCAGGAGAGGAATGAGAGGAAGGAGAGGATGAGAGGCAGGAGAAGGCAGAGTAGCTGCTGCCGCATCGTAGCCGACTGTGCCAATGAGAGGATTCTGAATCTTCGCACATTTTAGCCAGCCACGCTGAGCATGCACGCTGCCCTCTCAGCGCTGCCCTCTCAACACCCCCCCCCCGCCCTCTCGCTGCCCTCCTCCTCCTCCTTTCTACATCATGTCACACAGGTTCGAGACCTCCGCCATGACGTTGGTGATGGCTGCCCCGGCTATCCCCACGACAGCCTGAGCTGCAGGACCCAGCCCAGCCGCTCCTACAGGGGCCAGGGAGAGGGGAGGGGCCGGGGGGAGAGAGAGGGGGGCAGGGTGGGAGAGAGACGGGGGGGGGAGGGTGGAGGTTGGAGGGGGAGGATGAGGGGAGGAAGGGAGAAGAGAGGAGTGGGGAGAGGTGAGAGAAGGAGGGAAGGGGTGGTTAACATCTCGCCACTGCAGCAATCCAGAGGTTACCTGGGGGACCTGTGTCTGTGTTTCTGAGTGTGTACATTAGCCAGAACTTGTCTCTACAGCACAACCAGAGGCTACCCGGGAGATCTTTGCCTCTGTGTCTACTCTAGTCACGGCTACTGACAGCCCTTGCCCCCTTACAGCCCTGCTAGAGGCTACCTAGGGGTACATTTGTCTCTGTGTCTACTCTATTTGCTACTGCTAAAAGCACTTCCCCCTATTGCCCTACTAGAGGCTACCTGGGTGACCTTTGTATGCATCAATGAGTGTGTGTGTAGTCCGGAAAAACAATCCCCTACCTCCTCGGTGGTGCCGGACGGTAACGCTGTGGTGAGTAACGCCATGGGGGAACGGACAATTATATATTTGGCTATACCCCCTTATGGTGCTTGTAGCCATCACAGCAGCCAATGGGAACTCTGGACGGGTGCGAGGGGCTGGTAACCCATCCACCTTCAATTCAAGCACCAGGCTTGTGTCAGAGGCCTCGGGGGGGGGATTGTTGTCTATGACGTCTCGTGGCCAAACCCCCTTTGGTGTAGCCTGGAGACTGATCCCGGCACCCTCAGGGTTCCTCAAGAAACGATAAAAACAGTCATTGCTGGTGGCCACGTGGAATGTTTGAACGCTCACTCCGAAGGAGAGGCTGCTACTCCTCTGTCAGGAGCTGGACAGGCACTACCTGGATCTGTACGGCATTCAGGAAGTCAAGTGTACTGGCTCTGGCTCCAGTCACCTTGAGGGGTGGCAGTCTTCTACTCAAGACAGGAGACTGCCAAACAGTTTGAAGGGGGTGTGGGAGCATGGTAGTGAGGTGTGGGAAGCTGTAATCCCCAGGTTACTGTGGGCTCGCCTTCCCAACAAGAAGAGGTGAGGAATGGTGGTGGTTGCTTATACCCCCACCGAAGATGAACATCAGGGAGGGATGCAGGCATGGCTGATGATTCAGATGCCTTCTATGCCGTCCTGTTACAGGTGCTATTTAAAGTGGCCACTCAGTGACTTTAATGCCCGAGTGGCACCTGGGCTGGAGTGATTGAAAGGCATGGGCCAAATCAGCTCATTAACAACGGTTGGAGGCTGCAAGACTTGCGTACAGTCCATGGGCTTGTAATTACCAACACGCTCCTCTGGCATCGGCGCATCCACATAACATCATGGATGCATGCCGGGTCCAAGCAAGAACATCTACTGGACTACGTAGTGACGGAACAACGGATGCGGGCCTAGATCCTTGACTCCAGGACCTACCGTGGAGCTGATCTCCCCACTAACCTTCGGGTTGTCATCTGTAAGATGCGCCTGCCATTTTTCCACTCCGGTGGTGGGTGTACATCTAGGACCCCATTCAAACCTACAGTGACCTAGTCTCAGCTAATTGATGAAAGTTAGAAGCGAGAACTTCATCATCGCACGCAGCAGGGTTTGCATCGTCCCCCCCTCCTCCTGATGCCTAGGGGAAATGGGTGAGGGTTAGAACTGTGGTCCATGCAGCTGCAATGGCTGCTTAGGGTACACGGTCCGGACCTCCCTAGAGACCCTGGCTGATAGAGGAGGTGTTCTGTCTAGTTTAGAAAAATCAAAAGGCCCACGCCCACCGTCTGCAGCATCCCACATCGGAGAAGGCTTACAGCAGCCTTCGCTCGGAGGTTTGGACAGCCGTGTGATGCTGCAAGGATGAGTGGTGATCGTGGGTTGCTGAGAAGATGAACTCTGCCTCAGTAGCCTGTGATCATAAAATACTCTTTAACTACATCAAAAAGTAACTTGTGGTACCACATCTATCACTATCCTTAAGGAAATGAACTGTGATCCGATCTCTGACTACCAGGAACAGGTTGGCAGGTTTGCTGAACATTTATTTTAGATACTGTGTGAGGAGAAATATCTCAGTCCAAAAACATCATGGGGCAAAATGGGGATGAACCTGCTGAGCCTGCTGTGCCTCAAATATTGGAAAAGTAGTCACCCCCTGTGAGTGGCTACCTGAGGTGCCATGTTTTGAGGAAGTACAGAAGGCGATCCAGAGTCTTAAACCAGAAAAAGTGCTGGGAAGAGATGATCTCCCAAGCAAAATTGTGAAGAAATGTGGCGTTTCTCTGCAGACTGCCCTACTTGAAATCACTGGATGGCTTCTACAAGATTGGAAGGATGCCCTGGTGGTCCCCTCGTTAAGAAGAGGAACCGCACAGACTGTAACAACTCGAGGGGCATCTCCCTCCTCAGTATACCAAAAAAAGTCCTGGCAAGGATTATTCAACATCATCTTTCCAGGCACGCTGAGAGGCTTGCAGAGCTCCAATGTGGTTTTGGGTAAGGATGGTCCTGAACAGATTCCATATTTTCTGTCCGTTTTCTACAGCAGAGGTTTAGGGAATTCCAACAGGACCTAGATCTCTGCTTTATTGATCTGGCCAAGGCCTATGATACCATCAATAGGCCTGGGCTCTGGGTTGTTCTTCGTGCTTTTGGGGTCCCTAACTTTCTGCACAAAATCGTTAAGGACCTTCATGATGGTGGGCAGGCCCGGGTAAAGCTGGGAGTCAGAGCCATTTCTTTTTCACTTTAGGGTGCACATATATAACATCGTCTTGACCACGTAGTTTGAGAAGCCTCCATGGCTGTACTGGAGGATCTCCATCATGTACAAGGGTACGGTCAAAGGATGGGTCCCTATTGGGCAACCATGTTATGTATGCCGATAATCTGGTGATTGCAGTTCACTCAAAGGAAGAGATTGAGGCGCTGCTGCTAGACCTGGGCCGTGCCACTAATAGGTGGAGCCTTACCATCAGCCTCACCAAAACTAAGCACCTACCTGGGTATTTTGTACCATCAAAAACTCCACCCCCACACCTCCCAATTTGTAATTGGGCAGTTATGGAGAGAGTGGAGAGGCCCCATACCTGGGCGGTGTGCTCATGACCAGCTCCGGTGTGACAGCAGAGGTCTCACTCCGAATCAGTCGAGAGGCATATTTTCATTGGCTACGTAATGTTACGTGGAAGCTACCTGGTCTGCAGCTCCACACGAAGCTTCGGGTCTTCTCGGCCACATTCATGCCCTCCTTTCCCTTCACTTGCAAAACGTGCACCACCCCTAGTGGAACATCTTCGCCAGTTAGAAACATTCACACTGACCTGCCTATCATCCATCCTGGGTTTAACCAGGCTGGATTGTGTGAGGAGCTCCCAACACCTTGAATAATCTGGACAAAGTTCCATCGGTGAGCTCCTCCGGCAGGCGAGGCTACGTCCTGCTAGAGGCTACCCGGAAGTACATTTGTCTCTGTCTCCTTTACTCGCTACTAATCAAAGCACTTGCCCCCTAACCGCCCTGCTATAGGCTAACTGGGAGTACTCGTTACTACAACAGCATTTGCCGCTACAGCCATGATAGAGGCTAATCAAGAGTGCCTTTGTCTCTGCGTCTCCTCTACTCACTACTAACGCACAGCCCTTGTCACCCTGACAACAGCCCTGGCCAGAGGCCCTCCTAGCCGGGGCCCTGCCTCCTTACCGGCGGCCTGCAGCCAGGCCACGATCCCTCCGGCCGCCACACCACCTCCGTTGGCGGCCGCGGCCAAGGCCATGGCCTTGGCCGCGATCCCTCCAGCGGCGATCCCTCCAGCGCCGAAGCCCGCGGCTCCTATTGCCACTGGGGCCACTGCAACTGCGCCCACTGGCTCACAACAACAACAAGCATGGCAACAACAACAATGACAACAGTGAGGAGGGAGGGGGATAGCCCACAACAACAACGATGGTAACAACACCGTCACACAAACGAACACGTGGATGCATGGCGTCGCAGCAGCGTCACCATCACACAGCATCAGACACAGCATCACACAGCATCACACACAGGCTCACACAGCATCACACAACATCACACACAGCATCACACAACATCACACACAGCATCATACAGCATCACAGACAGCCTCACACAGCATCACACACAGCCTAACACAGCATCAACAACAACAACGATCGCCATTCGCCACGAAGTGGCGGTGACGACACCACGACGCTTGTGCAAGGCTATGTGCACCTTGAGGCCACGTGAAGTGTCGAATACCCGCTAGCAGGAGGTTATGGGGCAGACCCAGGTGCCACGGGTCGACTGACTGAGACGACTGGCTGATGCACCACCTGTGCCCCCTACTGTGCCAACTTGCTGTGCTTTAGCCACCAGGCGCTTTGCTCGTTGTTGTGAGCATTGCTCCTCCGCCCTCCATTGTTGTTGGAGGGCGACTGCCTCCAACTGCCCAGTAGCCTCCTTCACGAGCCTCCAGTTATCGGCAAGTCAACTCAGCTCCACATCCTCCTGTACCACATCACTCCATCTCTTCCCTAGCCTGTGCCGCGCCCGTTTAGCCCCCTCGATCCAACAGAACAAAAGCTGTTTTGGCATGCGGTGGCTGGGCATGCGGGCTACATGGCCCAGCCAACGCAGTCTTGCCTGCCGTAGGAGCTCACCGATGGGACTTTGTCCAGATCTTTAAAGGATTTGTGAGCTCCTCACACAATCCAGCCTGGTTAAACCCAGTATGGATCGTAGGCAGGCCAGCATAAATGTTTCTAACTGGCGAAGATGTTCCATTAGGGGGATCCACGTTTTGCAAGGGTAGAGAAGGGAAGGAATGACCATGGCCGAAAAGACCTGGAGCTTCGTGCGGAGTGAGAGACCAGGTAGCATCCACACAGTGTTACGCAACCGATGAAAAGATAATGCCGCTCGACTGATTCGGAGTGAGACCTCTGCTGTTAAACCGCAGCACGTCATGAGCACACTGCCCAGGTATGGGAAACTTTCCACTATCGCCACAACTGCCCCATCACCAATTGGGAGTTGTGGGGGTGGATTGTCCGATGGTACAAAATACCCAGGCAGGTGCTTAGTTTTGGTGGGGCTGATGGTAAGGCCCCACCTCTTAGTGGCAAGCTCCAGGTTCAGCAGCAGTGCCTCCAACTCCTCCTCTGAGTGAGCAGTTATCACCAGATCATTGGCATACATAACATGGTGGAGCAATAGGAAGCCATCAATTGACCGCACCCGGGCATCGATCAGCCTCCCATTGTATCTGCACCAGATGGAAATTCCTCCAGTACAGCCATTGAAGGCTTCACAAACTACGTGGTCAAAATAGATGTTAAATAATGTGGTAACCAGAGGACATCCCTGTCGCACCCAATGTGTACAGGGAATGGCTCTGACTCCTGGCCACGTAGTTTTACCCGGGCCCGCTCACCATCATAAAGGTCCTTAATGATTGTGAGCAAAGGGTCAGGGACTCCGAAAGCACGAAGAATAACCCAGAGCCCAGGCCTACTGATGGTATCATAGGCCTTGACCAGGTCAAAAAAGCAGAGATGTAGGTCTTGTTGGAATTCCCTACACCTCTGCTGTTGCAGACGAACAGAATATATGGCATCTGTGCAGGACCGCCCATTCCTGATACCGCATTGGGGCTCCGCAAGCCTCTCCTCAGTGTGCCTAGCAAGGCGATGTTGAATAATCCTTGCCAGGACCTTTCTCGGCACACTGAGGAGTGAGATGCCCCTGTAGGTGTTACAGTCTGTGCGGTCCCCCTTCTTAAAGAGGGGGACCACCAGGGCATCCTTCCAGTCCTGCGGAACCTGTCAAGTGATCCAGACTGTTGTTATGATGTCCTGTAGGGCAGTCTGTGCACAATCGCCACCCTCCCTCAGCATTTTGCTTGGGAGATTATCTCTGCCCGGTGCCTTTACTGGTCTTAGACTCTGGATCGCCTCCAGTACTTCCTCAACAGATGGCACCTCAGCCAGCCACTCACAGGGGGTGACTTTTTCTTGCAATATTTGAGACACCGCTGCCTCGGCAGGGTCATCCCCACTTTGTCCCATGTTGTTTTCCTGGGTGAGGGATTTCCCCTTCTCCAGGACCTCACAGAAATGCTCAACAAATCTGCAAACCTGTTCCTGGGGGTCGGAAATTGGATCACAGTTCATTCCCCTAATGATGGTAAAAGGTGTGGTGCTGCAGGTTACTTTTTTTGATGGAATTAAAGAGCGATTTGTGATCGCGGGCCACTGAGGCAGACTCCATCTCCTCAGCAACCCGCGACCACCACCCATCCTTGCAGCGCCTCATGGCTCTCCGAACCTCTGAGCGAAGGCTGCAGTAAGCCTCCTCATTCTCTGATGTGGGATGCTTGAGCCGATTAGAGTGGGCCTTTCGCTTTTTCTCAGCCATCTTGAACACCTCCTCTGTCAGTCAGGGTCTCTGGCGAGGTCTGAACCATGGACCTAAAGCAGCCATTGTAGCTGCATGAGCCACAGTCCTAAACCTTGCCCATTTCCTCTCGACATCAGGAGGAGTGGGGAATGATGGCAACCCCAGCTGCAAGCGATGATTAAATTCTCGCTTGCAACTTTCATCAGCTACCTGAGACCAGGCCATCTAAGGTTTGAATGGGGTCCTGGGTTTACACCCACCAACGGAGTGGAAGAATGGCAGGCGCATCTTACATATGACAAGTTGATGGTCAGTTTGCAGATCAGCTCCACGGTAGGTCCTGGTGTCAAGGACATGGGCCCGCATCTGGTGTTCCGTCACTATATAGTCCAGCAGATGTTCTTGCTTCGACCCGGCATGCATCCATGATGTAGTGTGCATGCGCCGATGCCAGAAACAGCGTGTTGGTAATTACAAGCCCATGGGCTGCACAAAAATCCAGCAGCCTCCTACCGTTGTTATTGAGCTGATCCGGCCCATACCTTCCAATAACTCCATACCAGGTGCCAGCATCATGACCAACTCGGGCATTGAAGTCACCCAAAAAGATAACTCTATCCCGAGGGGCTACTTTAGCTAGCACCTCTGACAGGAGGTCATAGAAGGCATCTGACTCATAGGTGGGGGCATAAGTAACCACTACCACCACTCCTCGCCTCTGGTTGATTGGAAGGCAAGCCCAGAGAAGCCTGGGGCTTACAGCTTCCCACACATCACGCCACACTCCCACACCCCCTTCATTCTTTTATTCAGAAGAAGAGCCACACCCTGTTGCTTGGCAGTCTCCTTCCCCGAGTAGAGAACTGTCCACCCCTCATGGTGGCAGGAGCCAGAGCCGGTCCATCGGACCTCCTGAATACCACAGAGATCCAGGCGGTACCAGTCCAGCTCACGACAGAGGAGTGGCAGCCTCTCCTCTGCAGTGAGCTTTCGAACATTCTACGTGGCCACACGTAGTGGTTTTTTGTTGTTTCTGGAGGAGCCCCGAGGGTAAGGATTCAGTCTCATGGGGTCATAGACACCTGTCCCCCCGGGACCTCCAGCACAAGCTTATTAATTTGAGATTTAAACGTGGTTTAGTAGTAATTAATTGAAGGTGGAAGGGTCACCAGCCCCTCGCACCCTTCCAGAGCCCCCATTTAGCCGCTGTGATGGTTACAAACGCCATGCGACAAAAAGCCAAACAGAATTCGCCCTCCCCCTACGGCACTGCCCACGACAGCGTTGCCCGTCTGGCACCACGAGGAGGTAAGGGGTTGTTTTGCTGTGTGTGATGCTGTGTGTGATGCTGTGTGATGCTGTGTTAGGTTGTGTGTAATGTTGTGTATGTTGCTGTGTGTGATGCACACGTGGAGGCGTGGCGATGTTATCGCTTACCTCCTCCGACTACAGTGACGCCAACCTTACACCAGTTGATCGACTCGTCCTCTGTGTGGGGGTTACACAGTGCGATTAGTTCCATGTCCTCACATGTACACACTGCACTTTACACTACTATATACTACACTATACACTACTATATACTACTACACACTACTACACTATACACTACTATATACTTCTACACATTACAACACTATACACTACTATTTACTACTACACACTAATACACTGTACACTTTTTTCTTCTTCGTTCTTTTGGTAAAGTCACGTAGAAAGAATTTAATAAAATAATAAAAATAAAACATAATAAAATAATTCTCACGACGTTTCGGCCACAACGCAAGTAGTCGTCTTCAGGTGAAGAACAGGTCTGTCAAGAAGACAGAATCTGAATGGAACGCCCCAGGATTGAAGCGACTATTTATGTTGGGATGGAGGGGCGAAGAGCGTCTTGACAAAATAATTTGCATATCAAGAGGAATTTTGCATATTTATGGGAAATGCAGAAATGCGATTAGTACTACTTGTGAAATGCGTAGGGGGTCTGGCGAGGGGTTTAAAGTCACTATGCCCATGCATTATGCAGGATTAGCAGCATCAAAGGGAGGAAGTGAGGTCAGAATTAATAAAGGGAAGGAATGTTAATAATATGGCGCAATGGGAGACTAGGAGGCTTGCAGAGAACCTCTGTCTTGGAGAAGCCATCCAGCTACCATGAGAGATTCATCCATGAGGCGATCCACATATATAAACACAGAGACAATTTCAACCGAGAAGATGGATTCTGGCTCAGCAATCATTGGAAGGACGTAATAAACCATTTCGGATCTTAACTGATTGTGTTCACGTTTATGGTTAATTTCAGACCGCAGTCCACTCACTGACATTGACTATATATCTTGTATTATCCGCAAGGAATGGATTCTTTGCTCCACTGCAAGCCTCCTAGTCTCCCATTGCGCCATATTATTAACATTCCTTCCCTTTATTAATTCTGACCTCACTTCCTCCCTTTGATGCTGCTAATCCTGCATAATGCATGGGCATAGTGACTTTAAACCCCTCGCCAGACCCCCTACGCATTTCACAAGTAGTACTAATCGCATTTCTGCATTTCCCATAAATATGCAAAATTCCTCTTGATATGCAAATTATTTTGTCAAGACGCTCTTCGCCCCTCCATCCCAACATAAATAGTCGCTTCAATCCTGGGGCGTTCCATTCAGATTCTGTCTTCTTGACAGACCTGTTCTTCACCTGAAGACGACTACTTGCGTTGTGGCCGAAACGTCGTGAGAATTATTTTATTATGTTTTATTTTTATTATTTTATTAAATTCTTTCTACGTGACTTTACCGAAAGAACCAAGAAGATGAATTCCTGCAGTCACGAAAGCTTTAAATCGAAAAATACAATGTATACTAGTAAATATTACAACATACAAAACTATATCCACTACACTATACACGACACTCTACACTACTATATACTAAAATGTGGGGAATGTGCACAGAGCGGTTAAATATACATACTCACACATATATACACTACACTGATGTACACATTGCACTATACATGTGTAATGCGAGCGTAATTGGCCAGGCCGGATGTGACGATCCGCGAGGGAGGAGTCAGGGTCACGTGGGAGAGGGAGGAGTCAGGGTCACGTGGGGGAGAAGTTATAGCGAGGAGACAGAAAGAGATCTGGGGCAGTCAAGGGAGTGAAGAGGGGAGACCACGTTGGGTGGCCGCCGTGCCTCAGCCTGGTGGCTGAGGGGCTCATCGGACGGCGCCAGCCAGCGGGGTGAGGAGAGAGCAGAGTGCGCGGGGCGCACAGGGCGTGCAGGGGTTGCACGGAGCAGCCGAGTAGCTGCAGAGCTAGCGGAGGCTAGCACAGGGCGTGCGAGGTTGCACGGAGCAGCCGAGTAGCTGCAGAACTAGCGGAGGCTAGCAGAGGGTACGAGGTTGCACAGGCAGCAGAGTAGCTGCATAGGGAGCAGCAGTGGGGCTGCATAGGAAGCAGCAGGGTAGCTGCAGAGTGCGCGGGGCGCAAGGAGAGACGACGCTGGGCCGAGGAGGAGGCCAGCGGGGTGAGCGGAAGACGAACACAAATAAAGGACCGACGGAGATCAACATCGTGTGACGGAGTCCTTTATTACACATGGACTCCTCTACTTACGAACCAGTTCGGTTCCAGAGATCTGTGTTCGTAAGTCGATTTGTTCGTTAGTCAGAGGTCGCAATCGGGTACCCGATACCCGTACCCTACCTGATACCCGGCTACCTGTACCCGGCCGGGAACGGGTACCCATTTGCGACCCTGGTGCGGCTGGGTACGGGTATGGTTAAGGAAACAAAACCCGTTTGCGACCTCTGTCGTAAGTACAAACTTTAATCCTGTCGATTCCAAATGTGTTGTACGGCGTGTACAGTAAACACGGGGAATGGCTTCAAGAGTTGTATAATCTCCTGCAGATGTAGATGCCACTGTATCTTCAAGTTCTGCAGATGTAGATGCCACTGGTTCTTCACATTCTGCAGATGTAGATGCCACTGGTTCTTCAGGTTCTGCACATGTAGATGCCACTGTATCTTCAGGTTCTGCAGATGTAGATGCCACTGGTTCTTCACGTTCTGCAGATGTAGATGCCACTGGTTCTTCACGTTCTGCAGACCACTGGTTCTTCATGTTCTGCAGATGTAGATGCCACTGGTCTTCATGTTCTGCAGATGTAGATGCCACTGGTTCTTCCGGTTCTGCAAATGTAGATGCCACTGGTCTTCATGTTCTGCAGAAGTAGATGCCACTGGTTTTTCATGTTCTGCAGATGTAGATGCCACTGGTTCTTCAAATTCTGCAGATGTAGATGCCACTGATTCTTCAGGTTCTGCAGATGTAGATGCCACTGGTTCTTCCGGTTCTGTAGATGTAGATGCCACTGATTCTTCACGTTCTGCAGATTTAGATGCCACGAGTTCTTCGGGTTCTGTATATGAAGATGCCACTGGTTTTTCACGTTCTTTAGATGTACGAATCTCGTTAAAAAAGGCAGATGGACATAGTGACAGGTTTGTACGTATCTCTGAATGTTCGTAAGTAGAGCAGTCCTTATACTACTATACACTACTACACACCATAAATACCATACAATATACTACACTACTATAAACTACAGGTGAAGGTCTTTCCGACAGACCTGTTCTTCACCTGAGGACAGCTGCTTGCTTTGTGACCGAAACGTCGTGAGAATTATTTTATTATGTTTTTTTTTTATTATTTTATTATTTCCCTTCTACGTGACTTTACCGAAAGAACCAAGAAGAACTATACACTACTACACACTACTATACCATACCATATACTACACTACTATACACTACACTACTATTTACTATTATATACTATTATACTGCACTTTTATATACACGACACTATATACTGCACTACTGTATTTGAAGATGCCAGTGATTTTTCATGTTCTGCAGATGTACGACTCTCGTTAAAGGCAGATGGACATAGTGACAGGTTTGTACTTATCTGTTTGTGCTTGTAAGTAGAGGAGTACTTATACTACTTTATACTACTACTACACACTACTATACCATACACTATACTACACTACTATACACTACACTACTATACACAACGCTATACACTATACAATGCACTACTATATACACTCACTACTATATACTATTACACTGCACTTTTATATCCACGACACTATATACTACACAACTATACACTACTACACACTACACTACTATACACTACTACACACTACACTACTATACACTACTACACCCCACACTACCATACACGACACTATACACTACACTAATATACATTACATTACTGTATACGACACTATACACTGCACTACTATACGTAGTGCTATTTGCTACAATACACTACATAATACACTACATTACTATACAATACACTACTATACACTGCACTACTGTACACTACACTACAACACACGACACTACTATACACTACATTATACACTACATTACTATACACTACACTCGTATACACTACACTTATCACTATATTACTATACACTAAACTATACACTACCCTATACACTACACTATACACCATTACTATGCATGACACTATATACTATACGATCCACTACACTATACTATACAACGCACTACTATACAAGACACTATACACTACTATTGACTAAACTATACATTACCATACACTACACTACTATAGACTACTAGACAGGACACTATACATCACGCTACTTTACACTACACTTTAAACTATAATACTATACACTCTACACGACACTACTATACACTGCACTATGAACAACTATACACTACACTACCATATACGACACTATACACTACTATACACTACACAACTATAGATGACACTACTACACTATACATTGCACACTACTCTACTACACAATACACTACTATACACTTAACTACTATACACTACACTACTACACACTACGCTACTGTACATATCAATATACACTCCACTATACACTGCACTATACACTACACTCCTATACACTCCACTATACATTACACTATACACTACTACACACTACACTTATATACACTACACAATACACTACACTATACACTACTATACACTACTTCCTCCGCACCTCCAATGAGCGCGGTTGGCTACATAACGGTGCAAAAGAGGTCCAACATACAGCGTACATACAAGTTTGAACATCTGAACAACTCCCACATTAAACAAAACGTAGCTACACTCACACACATGTACACACACATGTACACACAAACACGTGTACACACGCACACACGTGTACACCCACACACATGTACACAAACATGTACAAAGATCCCCCGTATAGCCTTAACAGACTGTAGGGGCAAGTGCTGTTAGCGAGCACCTATGAAGGCCGGAACGGTACACGAGGGGGTGGGTGGCCAGCACCACGCCCGACCGCCTTACACACACACATGTACACACACACGTTCACACACACATGTACACACACACGTGTACACCCACACACATGTACACACACACACGTGTACCCACACACGTTCACACATACATGTACACACATACACGTACACACACACGCACACACCTGAACACACACGCGTGCTGTACTCACCTTTAGCTATTGCGGGCGTGAGCGAGACGCTCAAGATGGCGGCGATGAAGAGGACGGCGATCCTTTGTGACGTCATAGCTGACTCGGTGCTGGTGGGGAACCAATTAGAACGACGGCAGCTGCAACCTGCACGGCACCACACAAGGAAAAATATTCCCCCGTGCAGCCTCTTAACGGACTGTAGGAGCTACAGTGAGGGAAACAAGTATTTGATCCCCTGCTGATTTTGTACGTTTGCCCACTGACAAAGAAATGATCAGTCTATAATTGTAATGGCAGGTTTATTTGAACAATGAGAGACAGAATAACAACAAAACAATCCAGAAAAACGCATGTCAAAATTTTTATAAATTGATTTGCATTTTAATGAGGGAAAAAAGTATTTGACCCCCTCTCAATCATATATACCCACTGAGACTCATACCCATAGAGATCCAGATTCTCGTTTGGAACCACACACACCCATAGACACCGATAGACTGAAAATAATCAATGTTTATGTTACTCGGATAAGAAAATCCCCGCAGTGGCTAACACAGGGAGAGAGACACTCTGAGGTAGTTAACATCATATAGCCACCTTGGAATTAGGGTTGGGATCGAACTCACGACCTCCCGTAGACTAGGCGAGGTAGGTAACATATCTTAGCCACTTTGGCGTTGGAGTCGGGATTGAACCCACGAACTCCTGCGTACCAGGCGAGGTAGTTAACATCTCCTAGCTACCGTGGCGTTAAGGTCGGGATCGAACCCACGACCTCCTACGTACCAGGCGAGGTAGTTAACATCTCCCTAGCCACTGTGGGGTTAGGGGCTATATCCCTCGCCCCCCTCTCTCCCCTCTCTCTCTCACACACACACACCCCTTTCTCAGTCTCACCTCTCTCTCTTCACGATCTCCGCTCTCTCTCTCGCAGGGCTGCTTTTGTACCCAGACAGGGACCGCCTCTGGCGCCGCGTCACGGATTTCCCCGTCCGCTCCGTGACGGCGTTCATCAGAAATCCACTCCCTGCAGCGGCATGCAGCTCATCCAGCTGTCGCTGCAGAATCGTGACGCTGCTGCTGAGACATTCTCAGCTCGCGGTGACTCAGCCGCATTCTGACATTCAGCTGCAAGCAATCCGGTCTCAGCTGGGTCGTGTGTATACCTGTGTGTGTGTTTACCTGGGTGTGTGTTTACCTGTGTGTGTGTACCTGTGTGTATATCTGTCTATGTGTAAATGTATGTGTGCCTGTGTGTGTGTACCTGTGTTTGTGTACCTGTGTGTGTGTAGCTGTGTATGTGTACCTGTGTGTGTGTGTACCTGTGTGTGTGTGGCTGTGTGTGTGTACCTGTGTGTGTGTGTACCTGTGTGTGTGTGTGTACCTGTGTCTACCTGTGTGTGTGTGGCTGTGTGTGTACCTGTGTGTGTGTGTACCTGTGTGTTCATGTGTGTCCCTGTGTGTGAATACCTTTGTGTTTACTAGTCTGTATGTGTACCTGTATGTGTACCTCTGTTTTTCCCTGTGTGTTGGGGAGCAGTAGTGTAGCGGTTAGCGCCACGCTGCACTATGAACCCGGTGACCCAGGTTCGATTCCCGCTCATGGCCAACACCCAGTGACGATTAGCTGAACCGGTCCTGGACCTCCGCCCAGGACCAGGAAAGGCACCGGGCAGAGATGATCTCCCTATCGAAATGCTGAGGGAGGGTTGCGTTTATGCACAGACGGCCCTACATGACATCATAACAGCAGTCTGGACCACTGGACGGATTCCACAGGGGAATCTCACTCCTGAGTGTGTCGGGAAAGGTCCTGGCAAAGATTATTCAACATTGCTTTGCTAGGCACGCTGAGGAGAGGCTTGCGGAGCCCCAATGCGGTTTCAGGAAAGGGCGGTCCTGCACAGATGCCATATTTTCTGTCCGTCGAGCATCATTATCTTTTCATCAGTTGCATAACGCTTTGTGGAAGCTACCTGGTCTGTCGCTCTGCATGAAGCTTCAGGTCTTCTCGGCCACGGTCATTCCTTTCCTTCTCTATGCTTGCGAAATGTCGACCCCCCCTAATGGAACATCTTCGCCGTTTAGAAACATTTACGCTGGCCTGCCTACCATCCATTGTGGGTTTAACCAGGCTGGATTGTGTGAGGAGCTCACAAATCATTGAAATATCTGGGAGAAGTCGCATTAGTGAGCTCCTCTGGCAGGCAAGGCTGCAATGGCTGGGTCATGTAGCCCGCATGCCCAGTCACAGCATGCCGAAACAGCTTGTGTTCGATCGAGGGGGCTAAACGGGCAGGGCACGGGCTAGAGAAGAGATGGAGTGATGTGGTACAGGAGGACGTGGAGCTGAGTGGTCTTGCCGATGACTGGTACCAGCGGTGTCAAGATCGGCCTCTGTGGAGGAGGCTCGTGAAGGACGCTACTGGGCAGTTAGAGGCAGTCGCCCTCCAACAACAACGGAGGGCGGAGGAGCGACGCTCACAACAACGAGTGGAGCGCCAGGTGACTAAAGCACAGCAAGTTGGCACAGTAGGGAGTACAGGTGGTACATCAGCCAGTCATCGCAGTCATCTCGGTCAGTCGACCCGTGGCACCTGGGTTTGCTCCGTGACCTCCTGCCAGCGGGTGTTCGACACTTCACGTGGCCTCAAGGTGCACATGGCCTGGCACAAGCGTCGTGGTGACGTCACCGCCACTTAGTGGCGAATGGCGGTTGTTGTTGTTGTATATACGTGTGTTTTTGTATAGGTCCCTTCATATATCCCTCCCCAATCACTTCCCCACTTTCCCATCATGAATGGTCAATCGTCCCCCAATTTCGCATCCTTGTTGCATTTCTACACTCTCCAATGTTGTCGATTTCCATCCCCGAACCTCTAATCAATTCCCCGTTCAGTAACCACGTTTAATCAAGCACTTCACGCTGAGGTTTCGTTGATCGTGATAAAATTCCCACACTCGTACCTATGTATATTTTTGTTAATGTGTAACGTGAGTTTTGTGTTGTTGTTGTGGTGTTGCACAGGTTACAAAACGAGGAATTGGCAACGATATCAAAATAATTTGCATGCGCAAACGTGTCCAAAGCGGGGTGAGGGGAAGATAGATGATCGTTAAACCTCCCCTTCCGCTCGGAGCACGGTCACCAAAAGAATGCCGGGCCATGTAGTTCTGTTGAGATAGGGGCCGTCCATAAATGACGTCACGTGATTTTGGACGATTTTTTACCCCCCCCCCCCCTCGTCACACGGCGTCACAAAAAGTCAGACCACCCTCAGATACGACGTCACAAAACTCTGCCCCCCCCCCAAAAATAAAAAAAAAACATGCTTCAAGTCGCTTTAAAATATTGCCACTGTAGTGCGTATTTAATGTGGTGCTGCATTCTCATGTTGAAGGAGAAACCTTTATTAAAAAGTCTATTTTAATAAGTAGAACGTGTTGTCTATATTTATTTAAAGTTGCGCATTTTGATGTGATGTCACATTTCTCAAACCGCGCTCCCCCCCCCCCCTCTCGACATCGTCACAAATATCTGACGTCATTTATGGACGGCCACTAAGTCATGGGGGACACAATTGTAATGTGAGGGTATAGCCGGTGGGTTGAATGATCACACCTCGTTACGATGATTGGCTCTACCGGTCCTGGCCCATAGCCAATGGGGAGAAGTCTAGGGGCGTGGCCCTGACGTAATGGGAAGGTGACATCCGTAAGTAGAGGATTGGTTCTGCTGGCTTTAGCCACAGCCAATGGGGGGACGAGTCAGGGGCGTGGTCCTGGGATCGTACGATGGAGTCTGGAAGATTCCATGGAGGTTAACCAGGACTGGTGGAAAGGTTACCACGTGACCCGGGTATTAAAAGGGGTGGAGACGGTCAACACGTGGTCAGATCTGGAACGAACGAAGGGTGAGGCCACGCTGGAGCAGGGGTCCAGGCCTGCCACGTGGCAGCACGAGTCTCTCTCTCGCTCTCACGCTGTCTGTTAGCAGCGTGAAGGAGTAAGACAGGAGTGGAATTTATATGAAGGAGTGTTGTGAACGAAAGACAAATAGAGACCTTGATTCCAGAAGTCGCTTCCACGACCTTAATTACACAATGAAAAGCCAGGGTTTTTTATACTTCTCGCTGGCGATGAGAGAGTTACGTGCTTAGGATGTTCAAACACCGTCACAAAATATGACAATGATAAATAAAGAGGTCCAAACACCTAAATAGATACTCAGCTTTTTTGCAAGGCATCCAAGTCCCTAACGCCCACACACACAAATACTCGCAGTGAACATGCAAACAAAAAACATCGTCTGATAATAAAAATAACAATAATAATGTCATGGGTCCTTTTTTGGCAGTACAAAAAAGGAGGCTTTGGTACCGGCCACGACACAGAGAATATAAACCGGGTCCCCAGAGGGACTGGGGTTGTTGTTCATCCTGGAAGAAACCTTCGTCTCCGTTTTACGTTCTCTGTTCAACGAGTCTCCAACACGTAAACCCATCTCCAAGCTGTTGGTCCCGGTCCGTAGGAGCAGTTACGTTTTAACTAGTGTCGTTAGCCTGGTGGTCACCACCATAGCATGTTGATGATGGCTGCCCCGGCTGTCCCCAAAGTAGCCACCGCTCCAGGACCCAGCCCAGCCGCTCCTACAGGGGGCAGGGAGAGGGGAGGGGCAGGGGGAAGAGAGAGAGGTGGGAGAGGGGGCAGGGTGGGAGAGGGACGGGGGGGGAGGTTGGAGGGGGAGGATGAGGGGAGGAAGGGAGAAGAGAAGAGCGGGGAGAGGTTAGAGAAGGAGGGAAGGGGTGGTTAACAACTTGCCACTGTGGCAATCCAGAGGTTACCTGGTGGACCTGTGTCTGTGTCTCTGAGTGTGTACATTAGCCAGAACCTGTCTCTACAACATGACTAGAGGCTACCCGGGAGATCTTTGCCTCTGTATCTACTCTAGTCGCAGTTACTGACAGCCCTTGCCCCCTTACAGCCCTGCTAGAGGCTACCTGGGGGTACCTTTGTCTCTCTGTCTACTCTATTCGCTACTACTAACAGCACTTGCCCCTATTGCCCTACTAGAGGCTACCTTGGTGACCTTTGTATGCGTCTCTGAGTGTGTGTGTAGTCCGGCAAAACAATCCCCTACCTCCTCGGTGGTGCCGGACGGTAACGCTGTGGTGAGTAACGCCATTGGGGGAACGGAAAATTATAAATTTGGCTATACCCCCTTATGGTGCTTGTAGCCATCACAGCAACCAATGGGAACTCTGGACGGGTGCGAAGGGCTGGTAACCCATCCACCTTTAATTCAAGCACCAGGCTTGTGTCAGAGGCCTCGGGGGGGGGGGGGGGATTGTTGTTTATGACGTCTCGTGGCCAAACCACATTTGGTGGAGCCAGGAGACTGATCCCGGCACCCTCAGGGTTCCTCAAGTAACGATAAAAACAGCCACTGCGGGTGGCCACGTGGAATGTTTGAATGCTCACTCAGAAGGAGAGGCTGCTACTCCTCTGTCAAGAGCTGGACAGGCACTGCCTGGATCTGTACGGCATTCAGGAAGTCCAGTGTACTGGCTCTGGATCCAGTCACCTTGAGGGGTGGCAGTCTTCTACTCAAGACAGGGGACTGCCAAACAGTTTGAAGGGGGTGTGGGAGCATGGCAATGAAGTGTGGGAAGCTGTAATCCCCAGGTTACTGTGGGCTCGCCTTCCCAACAAGAAGAGGTGAGGAATGGTGGTGGTGGTGGTTGCTTATACCCCCACCTAAGATGAACATCAGTGGAGGGATGCAGGCATGGCTAATGATTCAGATGCCTTCTATGACCTTCTGTCATAGGTGCTATCTAAAGTGGCCACTCGGGCGAGAGTCGTCCTGTTGGGTGACTTTAATGCCCAAGTGGCACCTGGGCTGGAGTGATTGGAAGGCATGGGCCAGATAAGCTCAATAACAACGGTAGGGGGCTGCTAGACTTGTGTACAAACCATGGGCTTGTAATTACCAACACGCTCCTCTGGCATTGGCGCATCCACATAACATCATGGATGCATGCCGGGTCCAAGCAAGAACATCTACTGGACTACATAGTGACGGAACAACGGATGCGGGCCCATATCCTTGACACCAGGACCTTCCGTGGAGCTGATCTCCCCACTAACCTTCGGGTTGTCATCTGTAAGATGCGCCTGCCATTCTTCCACTCCGGTGGTGGGTGTACATCTAGGACCTAATTTAAACCCACAGTGACCTGGTCTCAGCTAGTTGATGAAAGTTAGAAGCGAAAACTTAATCATCGCATGCAGCAGGGTTTGCATTGTCCCCCCCTCCCCCTGATGCCGAGGGGAAATGGGTGAGGGTTAGGACTGTGGTTCATGCGGCTGCAATGGCTGCTTAGGGTACACGGTCCAGACCTCCCTAGAGACCCTGGCTGATGGAGGAGGTGTTCTGTCGAGTTGAGAAAAAGCAAAAGGCCCACGCCCACAGTCTACAGCATCCCACATCGGAGAAGGCTTACCGCAGCCTTCGCTCGGAGGTTTGCTGCAAGGATGAGTGGTGATCGTGGGTTGCTGAGAAGATGAACTCTGCCTCAGTAGCCTGTGATCATAAAATACTCTTTAACTCCATCACAAAGTAACTTGTGGTACCACATCTATCACTAACCTTAAGGAAATGAACTGTGATCCGATCTCTGACTACCAGGAACAGGTTGGCAGGTTTGCTGAACATTTATGTAAGATCCTGTGGGAGGAGAAATCCCTCAGTATAAAAAAACATCATGGTGCAAAGTGGGGATGAAGCTGCTGATATATTGGAAAAGTAGTCACCCCCTGTGATTGGCTACCTGAGGTGCCATGTATTGAGGAAGTACAGAAGGCGATCCAGAGTCTAAAACCAGAAAAAGTACTGGGAAGAGATGATCTCCCAAGCAAAATTGTGAAGAAATGTGGCGTTTCTCTGCAGACCACCCTACTTGAATTCACTGGATGGCTTCTACAGGATTGGAAGGATGCCCTGGTGGCCCCTCTCGTTATGAAGAGGAACCGCAGAGACTGTAACAACTACAGGGGCATCTCCCTCCTCAGTATACCAAAAAAAGTCCTGGCAAGGATTATTCAACATCGTCTTGACAGGCACGCTGAGAGGCTTGCAAAGCTCCAATGTGGTTTTGGGTAAGGGTGGTCCTGTACAGATTCCATATTTTCTGTCCGTTTTCTACAGCAGAGGTTTGGGGAATTCCAACAGGACCTACATATCTGCTTTATTGATCTGGCCAAGGCCTATGTAACCATCAATAGGCCTGGGCTCTGGGTTGTTCTTGGTGCTTTTGGGGTCCGTAACTTTCTGCTCAAAATCATTAAGGACCTTCATGATGGTGGGCAGGCCCGGGTAAAGCTGGGAGTCAGAGCCATTTCTTTTTCACCTTAGGGTGCACATTATTTAACATCGTTTTGACCACGTAGTTCAAGAAGCCTCCATGGCTGTACTGGAGGATCTCCATCTGGTACAAGGGTACGGTGGATGGAGGGGTCCCAATTGGGCAACCATGTTATGTATGCCGATAATCTGGTGATTGCAGTTCACTCAAAGGAGGAGATTGAGGCGCTGCTACTAGACCTGGAGCGTGCCACTAATAGGTGGAGCCTTACCATCAGCCCCACCAAATCTAAGCACCTGCCTGGGTATTCTGTACCATCAAAAACTCCACCCCCACACCTCCCAATTTGTGATGGGGCAGTTGTAGAGAGAGTGGAAAGGCCCCATACCTTGGCGGTGTGCTCATGACCGGCTCCGGTGTGACAGCAGAGGTCTCACTTCGAATCAGTCCTGAGCCATATTTTCATCGGCTGCGTAATGTTGGGTGGAAGCTACCTGGTCTGCAGCTCCACACGAAGCTTCGGGTCTTCTCGGCCACATTCATGCCCTTCTTTCCCTTCACTTGCAAAACGTGCACCACCCCTAATGGAACATCTTCGCCAGTTAGAAACATTCACACGGGCCTGCCTATGATCCATTCTGGGTTTAACCAGGCTGGATTGTGTGAGGAGCTCACAAAACATATCTGGACAAAGTTCCATCGGTGAGCTCCTCCGGCAGGCAAGGCGTCGTCCTCCTAGAGGCTACCCGGAAGTACATTTGTCTATGTCTCCTTTACTCGCTACTAATCAAAGCACTTGCCCCCTAACCGCCCTGCTATAGGCTAACTGGGAGTACTCGCTACTACAACAGCACTTGCCGCTACAGCCCTGCTATAGGCTAATCAAGAGTGCCTTTGTCTTTGTGTCTCCTCTACTCACTACTAACGCACAGCCCTTGTCACCATAGCAACAGCCCTGGTCAGATGCCCTCCTAGCCGAGGCCCTGCCTCCTTACCGGCGGCCTGCAGCCCGGCCACGATCCCTCCGGCTGCCACCCCACCTCCGTTGGCGGCCGCGGCCAAGGACATGGCCTTGGCAGCCACGGAGCCGGCGGCGATCCCTGCAGCACCGAAGCCCGCGGCTCCTAATAGCACTGGGGCCAGAACAACTGCCCCCACTGGCTCACAACAACAACAAGCATGGCAACAACAACAATAACAACAGTGAGGAGGGAGGAGGCTAGCCCACAACAACAACGATGATAACAACACACAAACGATCACGTGGATGCATGGCGTCGCAGCAGCGTCACCATCACACAGCATCAGACACAGCATCACACACAGGATCATACAGCATCATAGACAGCCTCACACAGCATCACACCTAGGCTCACACAGCATCACACACAGGATCATACAGCATCACAGACAGCCTCACACAGCATCACACCCAGGCTCACACAGCATCACATACAGCCTCACATACAGCAATACACACAGCATCATACAAAGCATCACACAGCATCAACAACAACAACGACCGCTATTCGCCACGAAGTGGCAGTGACATCACCACGATGCTTGTGCCAGGATGTGTGCACCTTGAGGCCACGTGAAGTGTTGAACGCCTGCTGGCAGGAGGTTACGGGGTAGACCCAGGTGCCACGGGGCGACTGACTGAGATGACTGGCTGATGCACCACCTGTGCCCCCTACTGTGCTAACTTGCTGTGCTTTAGCGACCAGGCACTCCGCTCGTTGTTGTGAGCATCGCTCCTCGCCCTCCATTATTGTTGGAGGGCGACTGCCTCCAACTGCCCAGTAGCCTCCTTCACGAGCCTCCAGTTATCGGCAAGTCAACTCAGCTCCACATCCTCCTGTACCACATCAAAACATCTCTTTCCTAGCCCGTGCCGTGCCCGTTTAGACCCTTCGATCCGACAGAACAAAAGCTGTTTTGGCATGCGGTGGCTGGGCATGCGGGCTACATGGCCCAGCAAACGCAGCCTTGCCTGCCGTAGGAGCTCACCGATGGAACTTTGTCCAGATCTTTCAAGGATTTGTGAGCTCCTCACACAATCCAGCCTGGTTAAACCCTGGATGGATCGTAGGCAGGCCAGCCTAAATGTTTCTAACCGGCGAAGATGTTCCATTAGGGGGTCCACGTTTCGCAAGCGTAGAGAAGGGAAGGAATGACCATGGGCCAAGAAGACCTGCAGCGTCGAGCGGAGCAAGATACCAGGTAGCTTCCACACAGTGTTATGCATCCGATGAAAAGATAATGCCGCTCGACTGATTCGGATTGAAACCTCTGCTGTTAAACCGCAGCAGATCATGAGCACACTGCTCAGGTATGGGAAACTCTCCACTCTCTCCACAACTGCCCCATCACCAATTGGGAGTTGTAGGGGTGGATTGTCCGATGGTTGAAAATACCCAGGCAGTGCTTAGTTTTGGTGGGACTGATGGTAAGGCCCCACCTCTTAGTTGCAAGCTCCAGGTTCAGCAACAGTGCCTCCAACTCCTCCTCTGAGTGAGCAATTATCACCAGATCATCAGCATATGTAACATGGTGGAGCAATAGGAAGCGATCCCTTGACCGCACCCGGGCATCGATCAGCCTCCCATTGTATCTGCAACCAGATGAAAATTCCTCCAGGACAGCCATTGAAGGCTTCACGAACTACGTGGTCAAAATAGATGTTCAATAATGTAGGAGCCAGAAGACATCCCTGTCGCACCCCAAGGTGTACAGGGAATGGTCCTTAATGATTGTGAGCAAAGGGTCAGGGACTCCGAAAGCACAAAAAACAACCCAGAGCCCAGGCCTACTGATCGTATCATAGGCCTTGACCAGATCAATAAAACAGAGATGTAGGTCTTGTTGGGATTCCCTACACCTCTGCTGTAGCAGACGGACAGAATATATGGCATCTGTGCAGGACCGCCCATTCCTGATACCGCATTGGGGCTCAGCAAGCCTCTCCTCAGTGTGCCTAGCAAGGCGATGTTGAATAATCCTTGCAGGACCTTTCTCGGCAGACTGAGGAGTGAGATGCCCCTGTAGGTGTTACAGTCTGTGCGGTCCCCCTTCTTAAAGAGGGGGACCACCAGGGCATTGTTCCAATCATGCGGACCCGTCTAGTGGTCCAGACTGTTGTTATGATGTCATGTAGGGCAGTATGTGCACATACGCCACCGTCCCTCAGCATTTTGCTTAGGAGATCATCTCTGCCCGGTGCCCTTCTGGATCGCCTTAAGTACTTCCTCAACAGATGGCACCTCAGCCAGCCACTCACAGGGGGTGACTTCTTCCTACAATATTTGAGGCACCGCTGCCTCGGCAGAGTAATCCCCACTTTGTCCCATGTTGTTTTTCTGGGTGAGGGATTTCCCCTTCCCCAGGACCTCACAGAAATGCTCAACAAATCTGCAAACCTGTTCCTGGGGGTCAGAGATTGTATCACCGTTCTTTCCGCTAATGATGGTAAAAGGTGTGGCACTGCAGGTTACTTTTTTGATGGAATTAAAGAGCGATTTGTGATCGTGGGCCACTGAGGCAGACTCCATCTCCTCAGCAACCGGCGACCACCACCCATCCTTGCAGCACCTCACGGCTCTCCGAACCTCCGAGCAAAGGCTGCGGTAAGCCTCCTCATTCTCTGATGTGGGATGCTGCAGCCGATGAGAGTGGGCCTGTCGCTTTTTCTCAGCCAGCTTGAACACCTCCTCTGTCAGCCAGGGTCTCTGGGGAGGTCTGGACCATGGACCTAAAGTAGCCATTGCAGCGGCATGAGCCACAGTCCTAAACCTCGCCCATTTCCCCTCGACATCAGAAGGAGTGGGGGACGATGGCAACCCTATCCGCAAGCGATGATTAAATTATCGCTTCCAACTTTCATCAGCTATATGAGACCGGTCCATCTAAGGTTTGAATGGGGTCCTGGATTTACACCCACAAACGGAGTGGAAGAATGGTAGGCGAATCTTGCATATGACAAGTTGATGGTCAGTTTGCAGATCAGCTCCACGGTAGGTTCTGGTGTCAAGGACATGGGCCCACATCTGCTGTTCCGTCACTATGTAGTCCAACAGATGTTCTTGCTTCAGCCCGGCATGCATCCATGATGTAGTGTGGATGCGCCGATGCCGGAACAGCGTGTTGGTAATTACAAGCCCATGCCCTGCACAAAAATCTAGCAGCCTCCTACCGTTGTTATTGAGCAGATCTGGCCCAAGCCTTCCAATTACTCCAGACCAGGTGCCAGCATCATGACCAATTTGGGCATTGAAGTCACCCAAAAAAATAACTCTATCTCGAGGGGCTACTTTTGCGAGCACCTGTGACAGGAGGTCATAGAAGGCATCTGACTCATCGGTGGGGGCATAAGTAACCATTACCACCACTCCTCGCCTCTGGTTGATTGGAAGGCGAGCCCAGAGAAGCCTGGGGCTTACAGCTTTCCACACATCACACCACGCTCCCACGACCCCTTCATTATTTTATTCAGAAGAAGAGCCACACCCTGTTGCTTGGCAGTCTCCTGCCCCGAGTAGAGAACTGTCCACCCCTCATGGTGGCAGGAGCCAGAGCCGGTCCATCGGACCTCCTGAATACCGCAGAGATCCAGGCGGTACCAGTCCAGCTCCCGACAGAGGAGTGGCAGCCTCTCCTCTGCAGTGAGCTTTCGAACATTCTACGTGGCCACAGGTAGTGGATTTTTGTTGTTTCTGGAGGAGCCCCGAGGGTAAGGATTCGGTCTCCTGGGGTCATAGATGCCTGTCCCCCCGGGACCTCCAGCACAAGCTTATTAATTTGAGATTTTAAACGTAGTTTAGTGGTAATTAATTGAAGGTGGAGGGGTCACCAAGCCCCTCGCACCCTTCCAGAGCGCCCATTTAGCCGCTGTGATGGTTGCAAACGCCATGCGACAAAAAGCCAAACAGAATTCGCCCTCCACCTACGGCACTGCCCACGACAGCGTTGCCCGTCTGGCACCACGAGGAGGTAAGGGGTTGTTTTGCTGTGTGTGATGCTGTGTGTGATGCTGTGTGATGCTGTGTTAGGTTGTGTGTAATGTTGTGTATGTTGCTGTGTGTGATGCACACAGCAGGGTCACAACACCAGCGATCACGTGGAGGCATGGCAATGTTATCGCTTACCTCCTCCGGCTGCCATGGCGCCAATCTTACACCAGTTGGTCGACTCGCCCTCTGTTTGGGGGTTACACAGTGCGATTAGTTCCATGAACTCACATATACACACTGCACTCTACACTACTATATACTACACTGTACACTACTATATGCTACTACACACTACTACACTATACACTACTATATACTACTACACACTACTACACTATACACTACTGTATACTACTACACACTACTATACTATACACTACTATATACTACTACACACTACTACACTATACACTACTAAATACTACTACACACTACTACACTATACACTACTATTTATTACAACACACTACACTATACACTAATATACACTACAATGTAGGAAATGTGCACATAGTGGTTAAATATACATACTGACCAATATATACACTACACTTCTATACACATTGCACTATACATGGACTCCTCTGCTTACGAACGAGTTAGGTTCCAGAGGTCTGTTTTTGTAAGTCCAAACTTTAATTATGTCGATTCCAATCGCCAAGAATGGCGTGTACAGTAAACACGGGGAATGGCTTCAAGAGATTTTCAGGTTCTGAAGATGTAGATACCACTGGTTCTTAATGTTCTGCAAATGTAGATACCACTCAATCTTCAGATTCTGCAGATGTAGATGCAACTGATTCTTCATGATCTGCAGATGTAGATGCCACTGGTTCTTCATGTTCTGCAGATGTAGATGCCACTGGTCTTCAGGTTCTGCAGATGTAGATGCCACTGGTTCTTCATGTTCTGCAGATGTATATGCCACTGGTTCGTCATGTTCTGCAGATGAAGATGCCACTGGTTCTTCATGTTCTACAGATGTAGATGCCACTGGTTATTCATGTTCTGCAGATGAAGATGCCACTGGTTCTTCATGTTCAGCAGATGTAGATGCAACTCGTTCTTAAGGTTATTTAGATGTTAATGCCACTGTTCCTTCATGTTCTGCAGATGTAGATACCACTGGTTCTTCAGGTTCTGCAGATGTACGACTCTCACTTAAAAATAGCAACTGGACATAGGGACAGGTCTGTACGTATCTCTGAAAGTTCCTAAGTAGAGGAGTCCTTATACTAATGTTGCGTCGTAGAACCACGCGGAGACGTAACTTCTTGTAAGGGATTCAGCCATTTATTAACACTCGTTAAACACTCAGGCTCACACCAGGGGTAGGTGTTCTCTATACTCCTTCCCATGGACCCCCGAGCTCTACTCGTCCTATTCCTTGGGCTCTCTCACTCGGGCCGGGACGAGGGTTCAGCCAACACCATCCGGTCACGAGCAAGAGAGACCTCCTGCATCCGATCCACACTCCGGGCTCCCACAATGACCACGAATTCGTCACGGGGTGCCCCTTAAGTAACCCTTGGGTGGCTCCTCCCCTTCACTCGGACCCGCCCCTTTCAGCAGCCATGACATGACGTCATCACACTACTACTCTACACAACTATACACTAAATTTCCATTTAAAACTTTCGTGACTGCAGGGATTCATCTTTTTGTTTCTTTCGGTAAAGTCACGTAGAAGGGAAATAATAAAATTATAAAAATTAAAAATAAAATAATTCTCACGACGTTTCGGCCACAACGCAAGCAGCCGTCCTCAACGCAAGCAGCCGTCCTCAGGTGAAGAACAGGTCTGTCGGAAAGACGCTGTCATTCAAACGCTGTCTTTCCAACAGACCTGTTCTTCACCTGAAGACGGCTGCTTGCTTTGTGGCGAAACATCGTGATAATTATTTTATTATGTTTAATTTTAATTATTTTATTATTTCCATTCTACGTGACTTTACCGAAAGAACCAAGAAGAACTATACACTACTACACACTACTATACCATACTATATACTACACTACTATACACTACACTACTATTTACTATTATATACTATTATACTGCACTTTATATACACAACACTATATACTTCACTACTATACCTGCAGATGTAGATGCCGCGGGTTCTTTGGGTTTTGTATTTGAAGATGCCAGTGATTTTTCATGTTCTGCAGATGTACGACTCTCGTTAAAAAAAGGCAGATGGACATAGTGACAGGTTTGTACGTATCTATGAGTGCTCGTAAGTAGAGGAGTACTTATACTACTTTATACTACAGCACACTACTATACCATACACTATACTACACTACTATACACTACACTACTATACACAACGCTATACACTATACGTGACACTATACACTACACTACTATATACTATTACACTGCACTTTTATATACACGACACTCTATACTATACTACTATACACTACTCTATACACTACTACACACTACACTACAAACACGACACTATACACTACACGAATATACACTACTACACACTACACTACTATACACTACTACACACTACACTACTATACACGACACTATAGACTACACTAATATACATTACATTATTGTATACGGCACGATACACTACACTACTATACATAATGCTATACACTACAATACACTACATAATACACTACAGTACTATACAATACACTAACATACACTACACTACTATACACTACACTACTGTACACTACACTACTATACACTACACTACTACACACTACACTACTATACATCACACTACTACACACTACACTATACACTACACTACTACACACTACACTATACACTACACTATACACAACACTACTATACACCACTACTATGCATGACACTATATACTATACTATCCTCAAAACTATACAATACACCACTATACACGACACTATACATTATACTACTATATGCTACACTATGCACTACATTACTATACACTACACGACTATACACAACACTATACATTATACTACTATATGGTACACTATACACTCCGCTAATATACACGACACAACGATGCACTACACTATACCATACAATGCACTACTATACAAGGCACTATACACTACTATTCACTCAACTATACAGTACTTTACACTACACTACTATACACTACTAGATACGTCACTATACATCACGCTACTTGACACTTAACACTATGCTACTAAACACGACACGATACACTACTATACACTGTACATGACACTACTGTACACACTCTTAGGTTTTTTCGGTAAAGTCACGTAGGTAAAAAAAAAAATGGAAATAATTATATTAATAAAATAATAAATCACGACGTTTCGGAGGCAACACAAGTCTCCGTCATCAGGTGGGACCGTCACAGCTAAATTTACTGTATCAAGTGAGGAAAAATTCCGAAAGACAAGCTCTTAAATACAAGTTAAGGGGGAGGGGGTCACGTACGTGACTTTACCGAAAAAACCTAAGAGTATGAATCCTTGCAGTCACGAAAGCTTCAAATTTCGAACTACTATACACTCCACTTTGAACTACTATACACTACACTACCATATACGACACTATACACTACTATACACTACGCTACTATAGATGACACTACTACACTATACATTGCACACTACTCTACTACACACTACACTACTATACACTACACTACTATACACTATACACTCCACTATACACTACTACACACTACACTACTGTACATAGCACTACACTGCACTATAAACTACTATACATTACACTACTATACACTCCACTATACACTGCACTATACACTACACTCCAATACACTCCACTATACATTACACTATACACTACTGCACACTACACTAATATACACTACACTATACACTACACTATACACTAATACACAATACACGTTTTCCACTCCACTATACACTAAACTGTACACTAATACACACTACACTTCTATACACTTCACTATACACTACAACACACTACACTACTATACACTTCACTATACACTACTACACTACTATACACTCCACACTACACTACACTATACACTACTATACACGACTTCCCCCGGACCTCCAATGAGCGCGATTGGCTACGTAACGGTGCAAAAGAGGTCCAACATACAGCGTACATACAAGTTTGAACATCTGAACAACTCCTACATTAAACAAAACGTGGCTACACTCACACACATGTACACACACATGTACACGCACAAAGACGTGTACACACGCACACACGTGTACACCCACACACATGTACACAAACATGTACACACACACGTTCACACACACATGTACACACATAGACGTGTACACACACGCACACACCTGAACACGCACACGTGCTGTACTCACCTTTAGCTATTGCGGGCGTGATCGAGACGCTCAAGATGGCGGCGATGAAGAGGACGGCGATCCTTTGTGACGTCATAGCTGACTCGGTGCTTGTGGGGAACCAATGAGAACGACGGCAGCTGCAACCTGCACGGCACCACACAAGGAAAAATATTCCCCCTTGCAGCCTCTTAACGGACTGAATGAGCTACAGTGAGGGAAAAAATATTTGATCCCCTGCTGATTTTGTACGTTTGCCCACTGACAAATGAATGATCAGTCTATAATTTTAATGGCAGGTTTATTTGAACAGTGAGAGACAGAATAACAACAATAAAATCCTGAAAAACGCATGTCAAAAATGTTATAAATTGATTGGCATTTTAATGAGGGAAATAAGTATTTGACCCCCTCTCAATCATATATACCCACTGAGACCCAAACTCATGAAGACCCTTAGAGATCCAGATACTCGTTTGGAACCACACACCCACAGACACCGATAGACTGAAACTAATCAATGTTTATGTTACTCGGAGAAGATAATCCACGCAGTGGCTAACACAGGGAGAGATAAACTCTGACTCCAAATATACAGCAGCAGCAGCAGGCATCGTCAGGGTCAGGATCGAACCCACGAACTCCCGTTGACCAGGCGAGGTAGGTAACATCTCCTAGCCACCTTGAAATTAGGGTTGGGATCGAACCCACGACCTCTCGTATACAAGGCGAGGTAGTTAACATCTCCTGCTACCGTTGCGTTAGGGTTGGGATCGAACCCACGACCTCTCGAATACAAGGCGAGGTAGTTAACATCTCCTAGCCACCTTGGAATTAGGGTTGGGATCAAACCCACGACCTCCCGTAGAATAGGCGAGGTAGATAACATATCCTAGCCACTTTGGCGTTGGAGTCGGGATTGAACCCACGAACTCCTGCGTGCCAGGCGAGGTAGTTAACATCTCCTGCCACCGTTGCGTTAGGGTTGGAATCGAACCCACAACCTCCTGCGTACCAAGCGAGGTAGTTAACATCTCCTAGGTACCGTGGCGTTAAGGTCGGGATCGAACCCACGACCTCCTACGTACCAGGCGAGGTAGTTAACATCTCCCTAGCCACTGTGGGGTTAGGGGCTATATCCCTCGACCCCCTCTCTCGCACACTCCTCCCTCTCTCAGAGTCTCACCTCTCTCTCTTCACGATCTCCGCTCTCTCTCTCGCAGGGCTGCTTTTGTACCCAGACAGGGAACGCCTCTGGCGCCGCGTCACGGATTTCCCCGCCCGCCCTGAGACGGCGTTCATCAGAAATCCACTCCCTGCAGCGGCATGCAGCTCATACAGCTGTAGCTGCAGAATCGTGACGCTGCTGCTGAGACATTCTCAGCTAGCGGTGACTCAGCCGCATTCTGACATTCAGCTGCAAGCACTCCGATCTCAGCTGGGTCGTGTGTACACCTGTGTGTGTTTACCTGTCAGTGTATCTGTGTGTGTACACCTGTGTGTGTGTGTACCTGTGTGTGTATCTGTCTATGTGTAAATGTATGTGTGCCTGTGTGTGTGTACCTGTGTGTATGTGTACCTGTGTGTACCTGTGTTTGTGTAGCTGTGTGTGTGTACCTGTGTATGTGTACCTGTGTGTGTACCTGTGTGTGTGAACCTGTGTGTGTGTGGCTGTGTGTGTGTGTCAAAAAGCGATAGTGTAGCGGTTAGCGCGCTGCGCTATGAACCCGGCGACACGGGTTCGATTCCCGCTCACGGCCAACACCAGTGACGATTATCTGAACCGGTCCCGGGTCTCCCCTAGGTCGACTCAGCCTCAAATGAGTACCTGTTACGGTGTGTAAACATCGCCACTGGGGAGACAAAGGCGTTCGGGCGTGGAGCTGGCCACCCACCCCTTCGTGTACCGTTCCGGCCTTCATAGGTGCTCGCTAACAGCACTTGCCCAAACAGTCTGTTCAGGCTATATGGGGGAATCTATATGTGTGTGTGTGTGCCGGTGGCCCTGGGGTGACAGTCGTTTATGACGTCTCCTGGCCAAACCTTGCACAAACACACACCCCTTTTGCCCTGATGACGCCCGCTTGTATTGCGATCATAGTTTTTTGGTATTTTATTTGAACCTATCTACACTTTAGCGAAACACCCAAATAATACATTGCACAACATCGTGGTGGCGTCACCGCCACTTAGTAGTGGCGAATGGCGGTGTTTGTTGTTGTGTGTTCGCCTGTGTGTACCTATTAGTGAACCTGTGTGTGTACCTGTATGTGTACCTGTGTGGAAACATTTAGGCTGGCATGCCTACGATCCATCCTGGGTTTAACCAGGCTGGATTGTGTGAGGAGCTCACAAATCCTTGAAAGATCTGGGCAAAGTCCCATCGGTGAGCTCCTCCGGTAGGCAAGGCTGCGTTGGCTGGGTCATGTAGCCCGCATGCCCAGCCACCGCATGCCTAAACAGCTTTTGTTCGGCCGAATCGAGGGGGCTAAACGGGCGCGGCACGGGCTAGAGAAGAGATGGAGTGATGTGGTACAGGAGGACGTGGAGCTGAGTGGACTTGCCGATGACTGGTACCAGCGGTGTCAAGATCGGCCTCTGTGGAGGAGGCTCGTGAAGGACGCTACTAGGCAGTTGAAGGCAGTCGCCCTCCAACAACAACGGAGGGCGGAGGAGCGACGCTCACAACAACGAGCGGAGCGCCGGGTGGCTAAAGCAAAGCAAGTTGGTACAGTAGGGGGCACAGGTGGTATATCAGCCAGTCATCTCGGTCATCTCGGTCAGTCGACCCGTGGCACCTGGGTCTGCCCCGTGACCTCCTGCCAGCGGGCGTTCGACACTTCACGTAGCCTCAAGGTGCACTTGGCCTGGCACAAGCGTCGTGGTAACGTCACCGCCACTTAGTGGCGAATGGCGGTTGTTGTTGTTGTACCTGTGTGTACCCAGGCAGGGGCCGCCTCTGGCGCCGCATCACGGATTTCCCAGTCCGCTCCGTGACGGCGTTCATCAGAAATTCACTCCCTGCAGCGGCATGCAGCTCATACAGCTGTAGCTGCAGAATCGTGACGCTGCTGCTGACACATTCTCAGCTAGCAGTGACTCAGCCGCATTCTGACATTCAGCTGCAAGCAATCCGGTTTCAGCTGAGTCGTGTGTACACCTGTCTGTGTATCTGTCTGTGTACCTGTGTGTGTGCACACCTGTGTGTGTTTACCTGTGTGTGTACCTGTGTGTGTACCTGTGTATCTGTGTGTACACATGTGTGTGCACCTGTATGTGTACCTGTGTATCTGTGTGTACACATGTGTGTGCACCTGTGTGTGTGTTTACCTGTGTGTGTACCTGTGTGTTTACCTGTGTGTGTACCTGTGTGTGTGTACCTGTGTGTGTATCTGTGTGCACACCTATGTGTGTGTGTTTACCTGTGTGTGTGTACCTGTGTGTGTATCTGTGTGTGTACCTGTGTGTGTACCTGTGTGTGTGTGTGTTTACCTGTGTGTGTACCTGTGTGTGTACCTGTGTGTGTCCCTGGGTGTGTACCTGGGTGTGTACCTGTGTGTGTTCGTGTGTGTGTGTACTTTTGTGTGTACTAGTCTGTGTGTGTACCTGTATGTGTACCTCTGTGTGTACCTGTGTTTTACACTGTGTGTTTCCCTGTGTGTTGGGGATCGGTAGTGTAGCGGTTAGCGCTACGCTGCACTATGAATCCTGGCGACCCAGGTTCGATTCCCGCTCACGGCCAACACCCAGTAACGATTAGCTGAATCGGTCCTGAACCTCCACTAAGTCGACTCAGCCTCAAATGAGTACCTGGTACGGTGTGTAAACATCGCCACTGGGGAGACAAAGGCGGTAGGGCGTGGTGCTGGCCACCCACCCCCTCGTGCGTCGTTCCGGCCTTCATAGGTGCTCGCTAACAGCACTTTGATCTTTGTCTTTGTGTGTTTACCTAGGTGGTCACGTCCGACCCAAATAGTTTCTTCAGATCACTAAGAACCTTTATTCGGACATCAACTCCGAGTGCGTCTAATTGCGTGTGTACACGTGTGTGTGTGTGTGTTCTACACGTGTGTGTGTGTTCCTGTTTGTGTGTGTTCTTGTTTGTGTACCTGTCTGTGTGTGTGTACCTGTGTGTGTGTGTGCCAAAGGCTTCGGGGTGACAGGCGTCTGACGTCTCCTGGCCAAACCCCATTTAGCGGAGCCAGGAGACTGAATCTTTACCCTCGGGACTCCTCCAGAAACAAACCTTGCACAAACACACACCCCTCTATGCCCTGATGACGACCGCTTGCATTGCGATCGTAGTTTTTTGGTATTTTCTTTGAACCTATCTACGTCACTTTAGCGAAACACCCGATGAATACATTGCACTACGTCGTGGTGGCGTCACCGCCACTTAGTAGTGGTGAATGGCGGTGGTTGTTGTTGTGTGTTCGCCTGTGTGTGTACCTATTTGTGTACCTGTGTATGTGTACCTGTGTGTGTCCCTAGTGTAGCGGTTAGCGCGCTGCGCTATGAACCTGGCGACACGGGTTCAATTCCCGCTCACGGCCAACACCAGTGATGAGTATCTGAACTGGTCCCGGGCCTCCCCTAGGTCGACTCAGCCTCAAATGAGTACCTGGTGCGGTGTGTAAACATTGCCACTAGGGAGACAAAGGCGGTCGGGCGTGGTGCTGGCCACTCACCCATTTGTATACCGTTCTGGCCTTCATAGGTGCTCGCTAACAGCACTTGCCCCTACAGTCTGTTAAGGCTATAAGGGGGATCTTTATCTTTGTCCCTGGGAGTGTACCTGAGTGTTCGTGTGTGTACCTTTGTGTGTACCTTTGTGTGTACTAGTCTGTATGTGTACCTGTATGTGTACCTGTATGTGTACCTGTATGTGTACGTATGTTTTTCGCTGTGTTTTTCCCTGTGTGTTGGGGAGCGGTAGTGTAGCGGTTAGCGCTGCGCTGCACTATGAACCTGGCGACCCAGGATCGATTCCCGCTCACGGCCAACACCCAGTAACGATTAGCTGAATCGGTCATGAACCTTCACTAAGTCGACTCAGCCTCAAATGAGTACCCGGTGTGGTGTGTAAACATCGCCACTGGGGAGACAAAGGCGGTAGGGCGTGGTGCTGGCCACCCACCCCCTCGTGCGTCGTTCCGGCCTTCATCGGTGCTCGCTAACAGCACTTTGATCTTTGTGTGTGTACCTGGGTGGTCACGTGCCACCCACATAGTTTCTTCAGATCACAAAGTCACGTAGGTAAAAAATTCAAATAAAATAAATGAAAATAGAAGTAAAAAAATAAATTAAATCACGACGTTTCGATTGCAACACATGATGATTGCTTGTGTTGCAATCGAAACGTCGTAATTTAATTTATTTTAATTTATTCTTTAATTGTATTTTTATTTTTTACCTACGTGACTTTACCGAAAGAACCAAAGAGTATGTGGATGGTTGTCTTCATGTCTACTTGCTACTGACAGCACTTGCCCCTACAGCCCTGCTAGAGGCTACCTGGGAATTTGTCTTCATGTCTACTTGCTACTGACAGCACTTGCCCCTACAGCCCTGCTAGAGGCTACCTGGGGATTTTGTCTTTATGTCTACTTGCTACTGACAGCACTTGCCCCTACAGCCCTGTTCGAGGCTACCTGGGGATTTTGTCTTCATGTCTACTTGCTACTGACAGCACTTGCCACTACAGCCCTGCTAGAGGCTACCTGGGGATTTTGTCTTCATGTCTATTTGCTAATGACAGCACTTGCCCCTACAGCCCTGCTAGAGGCTACCTGGGGATTTTGTCTTTATGTCTACTTGCTAATGACAGCACTTGCCCCTACAGCCCTGCTAGAGGCTACCTGGGGATTTTGTCTTCATGTCTACTTGCTAATGACAGCACTTGCCCCTACAGCCCTGCTAGAGGCTACCTGGGGATTGTTGTCTTCATGTCTACTTGCTACTGACAGCACTTTCCCCGACAGCCCTGCTAGAGGCTACCTGGGGATTTTGTCTTCATGTCTACTTGCTACTGATAGCACTTGCCCCTACAGCCCTGCTAGAGGCTACCTGGGGATTTTGTCTTCATGTCTACTTGCTACTGACAGCACTTGCCCCTACAGCCCTGCTAGAGGCTACCTGAGGATTTTGT